AGAAAGGTAGGTGGGATGTCTGAAAGACACAAACAAAAAAAAGAATAACTGAAGGCCAACTCAGAAAAGCCCTGCCACCGCAAGCCTTCTCCCGGGTCTTCCCCGTCTTCTTCCTCATTTTTGGGTGTTTGACCCCCAAGCTCGTTTGGAGGACATCTGTGTTAGGTTGGCTACAAACCCAGTCAAGCAGCCGGTTTCAACTGGTTTTGGAGGAGGCCGGGGTGAGCCTGGCTGAGCAGTTGCCTTCCTGCTCCTTAGCACTAGGCCCAGGCAGGCCTCTTCTTTCTCAAGGTCTGGATTCTGCTGCCCACAGGAGTTTTTATGAGGATAAAGAGGATGAGGACAGGACTTGAGTCTGTTTTCTCTCTGCTCTGCCTTTGGCTTTGGCCAAGGAGACGAAGATGTCTTGGGCCTCTCCTGATCCCAGTGTCTTAAAGAAAGCCTTATTTAAAAATGAATAATTTTTGAGGGCAGGGAGGCAGAGCTACTAACCACTGCTTTCACATGCCCTTGAGCCAGACGCCTTCCTTATGAGATCATGAAAACATTCTTGTTTCCTGAGAAAGCCAAACAGCTCGGGCCTTATCTCAGCTGAAGACACTGCGCTGTGGTTAGTGCCTCGGCTTCCCCGGGTCTTGCGCGGCTACATAATGACCCTAGAGCTAAGAATGACCTTTGCTCGTGTTAGAACTGAGCTCGGTCTAGCAGAAGCCCCTGCTGTAGATGCAGTTTGCTGTCCTTTGCCCTGCTATACCTGTGTGCTGACTCAGTGTTACCGAGTCCCCTTCTTGTGGGGGAGATGACGCGTCTGCTTCTGCTGTGGGTGTCCAAAGCAAGTGTCCACCCCGCAGGAAGCCTTTGCCCCTTTTCTTGGTAATTTCTCTTTTGTCAGAAAATCACTTGCTGGCCTTTTAGGTCCTTCTAGGGAAACCACCTCTTCCCTTTCAGCGGACTAGAAATAACCCCAGAAACTGAAAGCAATCGCCCTGTTCTTGAAAGCATATGACTGTGTGGAAAGGGGCCTGAGAGCAGCCAGTAATTCCAGCTCCAGCAGCAGTCCCTTGTCCCCTGAGGTCCCCAGCTGGCCGTGGCCTTGTCCCCGTGTCCCTTTCCTGGAAAAGGGCAGCCCCAGCACGCGGAGCTGCTGCGCGGGGAGCTCCGAGAGCGGCAGCAGCCCCGTTGTGCCTCGTAGCGAGGAGAGGGGGGGAGAGCGGGCCCTGGAGCTGCCTCTTCATTGCGCTGATTATAAAGGAACTGCGGGGGAAGCAGCTTTTATCTTGCATTTCTTGGCCAGTTCATGTTCCTGGATTTGGTCAAGGTTTTATTCTACAGCAAGAACAACGTGTTCTTCCACTCTCTGCTCCTTTCCTTCTCATGTTCTCTTTGTATCCAGCTCACCAGCCTTTTTCAACCACAAATCATGATTCATTTTGTTTTTTTCCCTAAATCTATTTTTGTTCTCTCTTTGTTCCCATTCCAGCTGAGACTCCGTGACCCAGATGAGACACCACCAAACGCTGCACGCTCTACTCCATCGCCCATTGCATTCCTCACGGGGCACGCAGGGTGGGCAACTGAGAAAAGGGGGAAAGGAGGTGGCAGAGAAGGGGATTTGGGCTTCATTTGGGAAGTTTTGTTTGTTTTTTGAGGGGGGATTTTTTATTCACCAGAATCGTTTTAAAGAGGAGATGATGTCCTTAGCAATCAATGTTTGGAGGCAAAACAACTGTAGAGGGAAATACCTGGGTCAATGATCGGATCCAGGTCTTTGACCTGCTAGCAGGATAGGGCTGGGTGCCATTTCGGGCTTCTCCAGGAATTCCAGTGTTCATCTTACACACCCCTGGGACTCTGCGGCTATCGTAATTGTACTAGGATTCCTGTCAGCAGGGACCGACATGAATAAGTGACTCATTAGCTCTGAAACTGAAAGTGAAAAGAGACGCCGGGGTCTTTTCTGGAAGTTTTGCTTTCTGTTGTTCCATTGCATCCCTCAGCCCTGGCATTTACTGCTCAAGGTGTTTCTGCCGCTGGCTCTGCTCCAGGCCTGCCTTACCTGGCCATAGAGTGACTTTTCTGCGATCTTGAGCGAACTGGAATTCACGTAGTACTCCACAAATACTTTCTTTCAAATGCTTTCTTACTTGACTGCAAAAATGACACTTAGTTGGTGTTTGCATTTCTTTATAGATCAAATGGTGCCTTGTCTAAACTCTGAATCAATAATAAAATGAACTTGTACCATTTTTAACTGGTACCACCATGCTGTATTGGGTCTGGCTCTTAAGAGATGGGCTAGAGATCCCTTGAGGAGATCGGCATGGCTCCAAGGAAATGCCATACCAATCTTGCCTTGATGGGAACAATTTTAACTGCTCCACTCTCCCTCCCTTCCTCAAGCACCTCCTTGAACGCTGCCCAGCTGGAGTGACCTTCCTTCCTGGGGCAGGAGCCCCCCGTCTCACCTGGATGTGCTGGGAGAAGTGAGCGATGTCATGGTCCGGCTGGTTCCCGGTTGCCAGCATCCGGGCTCGGCTCTCCGTGAACTGCTTGAGCTTCTCCGAGAGCTGCTCGAACTGCTCGACCTTGGGGAGGAGGCCCTTGAGCGCATCCTCCTGCTGCTGCTGGCACAGCCAGCCAAAGTGCTCTGTCACCTGCGCCAGCTTCCCTTGCAGGGCAGAGGCCGTGGCGCCGTCCGCCGTCTCCATGAAGCGCGTCACCATCTCGCGGGTGGCTTCCAGGCAGCTCTTCTGCCTGGCAATGTCCTGCTTCAGCTTCTGTTTTAAACACAAACACAGAAGATGCCATTTTAGGAAGGTGTTTGAGCATAACTGAACTATCATGAAGAGAAGGGTGCCCTTTGGAATGACAACAGACATTTCCAGACACCAGGATCATGCAGGGATAGTGTTCAGTCCTAGTCCTCTTTCCTTTCTTCCCTCCCCAGTCTGACCTACCTTTCCCCAGGGCTTGATAGCTAGTAGCTAGCCAAGGAGGAAGGGAGACCTTCAACAGTTCATAGCCTGGCTCAAATAAATTAGATAAAGGGTCTACTCATGTTCCTTTTGGGGGTGGTTTGTGCATTCAGAGTATTTTAACTAAATCCAGGCAGCTATCTGCAGAGCCCAGAGAGCAAAGTGACTGTCCTTACCGCATTTGTGGCGAGGGAGTCCTGGATGGAGGCAGAGGAGAGAGCAATCGGCTGCTCTTCCTTCAGGCTCTTCTCAATCTCGGCTACAGACTGCAGGAGACTTTCCAGGCTCTCCTGGACGCTTTGGGACTGCGCGATGGATTTCTGCAGCAGATCGGAGCGCTCTGCCATCTGCTGGGAAAGGCTCTGGAAGCGGCTCACGATGGCATCTGGAGAGGTCGGAGCAAGAAGAGAGAAACGTCAGAGAGGGCTTCAGCGCCCGCCTGGCACATGGAGGGCAGCAAGGAGCAGCTCGTCCGTGGAGTCTGGAGATGCAGCAATGCATCTCAGCTCTAGAGATGCTTCATGCTCTACCTGTGGTTTCCTGAACGCGTCCATGGTCAGGGGCCGGCTCTCCTTGTATCTCCAGCAGTGAACGAGCTGCTTTCTGGAGCTTCTCCACGAGCACCTGGTGCTCAGCCAGGTCTCCTTGCAGCTGCTGCTTGACAAAGGACAAGGCCAAAGTCAGCAGTCCATCACACTCAAGGGACCTTCCCCTTGAGTGCTCCACAGAAACCCTCCCAAGGTTGCTGCCCGGGAGCTCCTGAACTTGCGGGTCCATCCTTGCACTTGGCCAGCCAAAAAGTCAAACAGACCAAGTGTTGCTGTTGCTGCTGACTTCTACCACTGCTTCTGCTTGGAGCAGAGGCTGAATTTCTGCACACACGCCAGATCATCACCCAGAGATACTGCACATTAGCACTAGCGAGCTGCTTCTGCAGAACAGCAGGATCTGAAGAAACTGGCTAAGAGAGGAGTTTCCCAACTGCCATTTCACTCTCCTGTAGCCACGTCCTGAGAGCCTCTGTCACCTTCTGGAACTGCTCATAGTGGGGCCTTCTTGGCCTGCCACAGCTTCTCGCGCGGCGCTGCCAGCTCCCTGGGCTCCATCTTCACCTTGTTCCCCTCCAAGAACTGCTCGGTGCTTTTCAGGACACCGGCAAAGGAAGCTGCCCGGCTGTGCATGCTCCTCTGCAGCTCCTAGTGCGCAGAGGGAAGGGACCATCAGGCTCCGGGTGCTCCCGGGTGCTGAACTCCTCCTTCTCACCTCCGTTTTCCCAAACACTGACCTTAACGCTGCTCTGTCTCTGCTGCAGGGCGGGCAGGCCGCCCTGGCCGGGCGCCGCGGGCCGCTCCGCCAGCGCATCCTCGGCCGCGCTGAGCCAGGCGCGCAGCTCCTGCAGGCCCCGTGCATGGGCTGCGTGCTGCTCCTGCAGCGTCTGCATGAGGGGAGAGGGGAGAGGAGGCCGTTAGCAGCAGTGCTGCACCCCTGGCACGCACAGCGCTGCGGAGCAAGGCAAGAGGTTACAGCTGGAGCACTTCCCTGGAGGATGCAGCACAGAAACGGCTTTGGCAGCTCTCCGTGGGCTCTCTCCCTGTCTCTGAGACCTGCACGCGGCAGGAATGGGCTCAGGGCTGGTGTCACTGCTGCGCTGGGGGCTCCACGTGGAGCCACACTGATTTACGCTCTTGGGAGCATTTACCAAAAGTTTCTGTGCCTTTTCTGCTCAACTTTAAGAGCACTGAAACTGCACTGAAGACTAATCTAATGAGAGCTGGCAGCAGCAGCAGCCTCGTGGAGCCCTGAGCAACCTAAGGCAGGTTTGTTTTTGACAGCAGCGTTGGAGAGGGAGCCTAGGAGAGAGAAAGCTCTTGCAGCACCACCAGTGCCTGATCAGCTGTTGACAGCTGCACATTTTGGTTGCTGCTCTCCTGAGCAGGCTGTGTACAACCCTGCTCTTCCACAAGGCCTTAAGCATTGATGTGTTCAAGCTCACAGAGGTCTCAGTGAAAGAAGAGGCGACGTGTTCGCTGCAGTTACTGCCTCACAAGGCCCTGGCTTACCGTTTGCTGGCTCAGCTGCTCTGACAGCACCCTGCTGTCTTCCGCTTGTCCTGGTTTCATAAGTTCTTGCTGGATGGTGATCTCCTCAATCCACTGGATCAGGGAGCTGTGGCACTAGCGGTAGGCACTGAGCACCTCCTGGATGCTTTCCAGCTCCGTATGGCTGGAAGAACCATGATAAGTAAAAGGAGAGTCAATCACAAGCTATTAGAATATGGTAGCCACCAGTGGGCATCACACCTGGAAAAATATTGCTGCTAACAAGCCCTATGGCTGCAGAATTTTAACGAGGATCCTAGGAAAATGTTCTCTATCATGCTTTGAACTCTCAGACTACAAAGGGTGGGTTAGTGTGCTAAGAACAGAGGAGGATGAATTATTTGTTTAAAAAAAAAAGGAAAAAAAGAAAAAAGAATAAATGATTAAATAAACTACCTGTGCCTGTCCCATGGAGCATGATTGAAAGAAATACAACTTTAACTCATTAAGAAAGAAAGAGTGAGACAGCTTAGATGAAGGCAGCTGCCCCAATCCGGAGATCATAGAATCACAGAATGGTTAAGGTTGGAAGGGACCTCTAGAGCTCATCTAGTCCAACCCCCTGCACACGCAGGGTCACCTAGAGCACGTGGCACAGGGCTGCGTCCAAGCGGGTTTGAAGATCTCCAGAGAAGGAGACTCCACAACCTCTCTGGGCAGCCTGTTCCAGTGCTCTGTCACCCTCACTCTCCCAGTGCCCAGCCTGCACCTTCCCGTCCCGACTGTCACACGCCAGGTTTGTGGCACCCCTTGTGAACACTGACTATTGGCAACCCAGTTTCACATGACAGGCAGCAAGATGAACATGGCCTGTTTTCCACAGAAAGCAAGAGGCCCCCCAGGCCAACACTGCTGGACTGGAGCAAATATTCAATGTGCTGCCCCCAGGGAGATGGGTATTTCAGAAAACCCACCATGGAGTCCTACAGCAGGTCCTCCAGGCGAGTCAGGCTCATGTTCTGGTCACACGAATACTTCCATTTGATGGAGTCCTGCAGGCTCCGCAGGTAGGTCTCCAACTCCCAGGCATCACTGAAGAACTGCAAGACCAAAAAGCATCTCAGAAATCGGCACCGCTCAACTGATTGGCAGCCAGTGCTGCAGGAGGCCACCCAAAAGCCTCCGTGAGCAGCGGTACCTGGAAATGGGCAGCGTTCTCCTTCACGTGCTGCTCCACACACAGGCAGAGCTGCTTGATCCACTGCCACTGGGTCTGCACAGCAGCGCCGTAGAGAGCAGCCCTAGCAGGGCATGGGGATGGGTGATGACGCGGCCAGTGACACGGAGCGACTCCGCACCCGCGGGATGTCTCCTGCTCTGTCGGCAGACACGTCCTGGGACGACGGCAATCCCACAAGGCTGTCGCTTTGCCATGGCTCCACCATGGGCAATGGGGTAGGCAGCTCTGAAACCGTGCCGAGCCATGTGGGGCAGCTCCGCACCGCGGGATGTCTCCTGCTCTGTCAGTGGGCCTGTCCTGGGACTACGGCAATCCCACAGGGCTGTGACTTTCCACTGGCTCCAGCATGGGCGATGGCGTAGACATCTCCGACATAGTGCCCAGCGATGCGGGGTGGCTCCACACCCACGGGATGTCTCCTGTTCCGTCAGCAGGCATGTCCTGGGACGAGGGCAATCCCTCAAGGCTGTCGCTTTCCAACGGCTCCACCATGGGCGACAGCGCAGACGGCTCTGAAACGGTGCCCAGTAACGCGGGGCAGCTCCGCACCCGCAGGATGTCTCCTGCTCCGTCAGTGGGCCTGTCCTGGGACGATGGCAATCCCACAAGGCTGTGGCTTTCCAGTGGCTCCACCATGGATGACGGTGTAGACAGCTCCGAAAACGTGGCCAGCGTATTGCAGCTGTTCCACACCCACTGGATGTCTCCTGCTCCGTCGGTGGGCCTGTCCTGGGACGAGGGCAATCCCTCAAGGCTGTGGCTTTCCAGTGGCTCCACCATGGGCGACAGCATAGACAGCTCCGAAACCGTGCGCAGCTCTGCGGCAGCGGAGCCGCTTGATGCGGCGCTGCCGGCGCTGCCCTCGCTCCAGCCTCGCTCTTGTGCGCTCCAGCGCTGGCGCGCAGCTCTGGAGCTGCCTGGCAGCCGCCTCGGCACCAGCCCGCACTGCAGCTCAGCTGTGGCCTCGAACAGGTGGGTGACGACGGTCAGGCCTTCCTCAGGGGAGCTTCCCGCCGCCGCGGCCGGTGGCTCCAGCACCAGGAACAACTGTTGGATCTCTGCTTGGAAACGCTCCTTAACCTGCACCAGGCAGCCGAGCGGTGCAGCCTCCTCCTCCTCCTCCTCTTCATTCCAGCACACCTCGATGGCTCCTGAAGGCCCCGGCGCATCCTGAGGGGCAAGGTTGTCATCCTCGGCATCCTCCCCGCTGTTCGGAGGATGCTGCTCCTGTGGTGCCACCTTCGACCCCTTCTTCTTCCACCACTTCCTTCTGAAGCGTCTCCGTGTTTGGGGCTCCGGCGGGGCCTCCAGTGGGGGCTCGCTATGTGGAGGCTGCCCATCCAGCAGCTCCTTCGCTCCTTTACAGCAGCTCAGGGCATTGCCCATGGCTGTGGCACGACAGCGGCGCGTCGGCCACGCTGGGCTCCGTATCCCGTAGAAACCACAGTTGTTGCCTCGTGGGCATTCCGGAATGCTCAGGGCCGCTGTTCGTATCCCATAAAATCCCAGCTGCCTCCTCATGGGCCTAGGCGCCCTGTTCTGGAACACTCAGCGCCGCCGCCACCTCATGGGAGCCAGGAGGGAGCAGACGGAGGCGCCAGGAGAAGGGAGGGAGAGCTTGGGATGGGGGGAAGTGAGGAGGGAGGAAAAGCAGGGAGTGGGGAAAAGAAAAGGGAAAAGAAAAGGGGAAGGTTGGCAAAGGTAGCATAAAGGGAGGGATGGGGGAGAGAGGAAAAAAGCAGGGAGGAGACGGTGCAGCGGGAGCGGAGGGAAACCCTGCAGCATCCGCAGCACCTGCCTCGGGCACCAAACCCTCCCAGCAGCAGCGACTCCATCCGCGGCCCCAGGGGGTGCCGGGGTCTGCTCCAGCACCCAGGGATTTCCTCCCCGTTCCCCGTGCTGCCGAGGTTCCGGCATGGAGCCTCAAACCAAATGAACTTTTGTTTGAAACCAAATGAACTTTTGTTTGAAACCAAAAATCTTTGGTTCATTACAGCAGCATCCAGGCACTGCAAATAGCACCCAACATGAGGCACAAACAATGAGAATTGTTGGGAATTGGCTACGAGAGCATGGACATGAGTATGGTTCTACTGACTTTGGTTCAGGCCTGCAACTGAGCAAGCAGGGGCTTCTGGGAGATTAGGCCTCAGGAGAGAAGTGCTGACTACGTGCTGGTAAGGCAAGGACACTCTGTCCTTGGCTAGTTTCGTAAACAACTTTGAGGGGATAAGGCAGGAAGAATGAAGAAGCTGCTTGCTTATCGATCGTAATCTGGGCTGGCCAGACAGAAGTTATCTTTCGAATAAACAACCAAATACCGTCGAATAAACAATCAAATACCGTTAGCAACCAATCATGAGCTCAAGCTTTGTAATATGCATGAAGTTAATTAAGAAATGTATAAAAAGCAAGCTAAAACGACTAATAAACGAGTCTTGTTGATGACCAACTGGTGTCAGCAGTCTCCCTTTCTCCTACAAATGAGGAGGATCACAAAGTCCGAACCAGGCAGCGTAGCCCAGCCGAGCCAGGAATGGAGCAGGAAGAACTCCGGTGTGCACCCATCGCCTAAATATAGGTGAGCGGCTTGGGAACCATGGCAGATGGAAAGTCTCAAAAGCAGAACCGGAAAATCCCCAGGAAAGACTTAGTAACCCTTTTAGAGTGTATCTGGGAGAAGGTGCCTACTGTGGAGGCCACGCGAAAGCCCGTAGGGTCATCTCGGCCCAGCGCAAACGGAAGCCTTGGGAGGCCCCACAAGAGCCGTGCGGCTCCCCCAGCGCAGTGCACTCCGAGGCCTCACAAAAGCCTTTCGGGACCCTGGAGGCCCTGGGAGGCCATATGAGAGTCCATAGGACTTTGCCAGCCCAGTGCGTACGGCCGCCTTGCCCAAAGGGCCCCCTCAGGCCCGTGCACATGGAGGCCCTTGGAAGTCGCACGGAAGGCGTAGGGACACCCTGGTGTTTTGCGCGCAGAGGCCCCGGAAGGCTGCACGAACATCCCTCGGGGCCCCCTGGCCACACACGCGTTGCAAGCAGCGCCTGTCCTCGGACAGGCCCCATCAGGCCAGGAAATTGGGAGGGGTGTTGGTGAAGAGGGCAGAGAATCAGTGTCCCATTGTAGGCATGTAAATGAGATACTAATGAGATGCAAAGTCCATGGTAAAGAGAGCACGACTGGCTGTTCAGACAGCACCAGTGTCAGCTTGGGGGGGGGGAGGGCGGTCCT